GTACACTGAGTTACATCTATGGCATGAGACCTGAATACATTAAATGGTTGATCAAAGGTAAATATAGAAACAGGTGCAGAACCTATCACCTACTGTCGGAACTACAGCTTTACTGTGTAACAATCAGTCCAAGTTACATATTAATTGTGCAAAGCTTCACATACATCTTTTCAATGATGAGTACGACAGTGATTTTGCGGTTAAAACAACTGTTTCGTCCTTCATACATCCCCGAACAAAGCGGTATCCAGTTGTTTCGTAATACCATGGCAACTCATTACCTGCTAACTTAAAATTTCCTTATTTATCACTTTCCTGTATATTAAAAAGACTTCAATCTATCTCCTGCTATAATCTAAATATAAGTACAGCCTGACCACATCACTAATATATCTATAATAAGTATCTACATATTGGTAAGCCTTTTAATTTTGGTAATATTTCGCCACTAATAACCTAAACAACTAAATTACAGTTGTGGCTCTAACTTAAGTTCTTGACTTTTAAACAGTTAACCCTAAATTCAAACCCCGCTCCAACTTCTGCGACTGCGATAACCGAGGAGCATCATAAACCCTTATAATGCATAGTTCAAAGCTTAGCACAAAATTGTATCAGGATGAGATAAGTCACAGGATCCCTTAGTAACTTTTATCAAGTAATGGTTAAATATCTATCTAGTAAATCTAATCTTTAGATAACGAACAGTGATATCGTATTCTCAGTGATTTCCAAGGAAAGTGCGTTATTTTTATTTGGAGACAGCTAATATCTTAACTAAATATTCTTTGCTGCTACACAAACGACAAACGATGAATACAATGATTCACACAAGCATAAAGATTACATCTACTAATGTATTATGTTTAAAGCTTAACAACGCTCCATTTTTAAAACTAAGACTGGAAGCAAAAAATACTACCTGTAGCAATTTGAGTTACCACAAGTGTATGCAATCCAAACAATACCTTAGGAGCAATTCTGACCAGAAACCTCGCCTGGTTAACTAGTTCACTAGTTACTAGACGATTCTAAGCCCAGGTTAAGAGGGAAGGTTGGGCATAGGGCTAGCAACCCTACCCCATAAAACAAATCTAACCGCTAAAGAAACTTCAAAGCACAGACAAAATATAAAAAATAATAACAAAATTATTCCTCGCTGGAATCCGAGAGGCGAAATGACGCCAGTTGGTGAAAGCCTTCGGAAAGCCAATTGACCGGGCCGATGTGTCTTCTCTCCCTCGATGAAAACGAAAGTAAACGTGGGGACATGGAATGTCCACACCATGTTTGAACCCAGCAGGGCAGCCCAGATTGCAAAAGAAATGAGATGGTATCACATTGAAGTGCCTGGAATTTGCGAAAGCAGATGGAATGGAAGTGGACTCTCCAAACTGTCAACTGGAGAATCAATAATCTACTCTGATATTGTCACCCAGACGACAACCACGAGCACACTGAGTTATGGAGTGGCTATCATGATGTCCCCAACAACATCGAAGGCTCTCTCTCATGCAGTGGGAACCAATCTCCTCCAAGATCAGGGTCATAGAAATAAGGTTCAACTCATAAGGAAGGAAGGTCATAATCAAACAATGCTACACTATGCACCTAGAAATAATGCAGATGAAAAGAAGGAGGAATTCTACAGACAACTTCAATCAACACTGGACAAGACCCCTCCCCAGTTGGCGATATCAAAATTCTAATGGGTGATATGAATGCAAAACTGGGAGCAGACAACACAGGAAGAGAACTAACCATGGTTCGAGAAGCGATCAGTGAGGTGATGAACGAGAATGGAGAATTGTTTGCAGAATTCTGTGCATTCAACGATTTGGCGATTGCAGTGAGGCACTGTGTTCAAGCACAAGGATATCCACAAAGCGACATGGATTCGATTTCACCAGATGGACACACTAAAAGTCAAATCGACTTTATCTCAATCTCAAGAAAATGGAGACGCAGTCTACTTAACACAAGGTCAAGAAGAGGAGCAGATGTAGGTTCAGACCACTATCTAGTGCAAGGAACCTTCCAAATCAAGTTAAAAGCCTTCAAGGAAGTTAATGATAGACCACAGTTCAAGTACAACACTCGGAAACTGAAGGATGAAACTACAAAGGAAATCTTCACGTCAGCCATCAAGACAAAATGGGAGATATCGAGGAACATCCCTGAAGAAACCTGTGTGGAAGAACACCGGAACTCTTTGAAAGAGATGTGGAAAGAAACCTGCACAACCGTATTAGGAGGGAAGAAGAAAGAAGATAAGGAATGGATCTCGATAGATACATGGAAGCTGATAGAGCAGGGAGACGAGGATGGGGAGACAGAAGATAAACCAGTGCAAGGATGCTCAACGATAAGAGGAACTGAGTACAATGTATAAAACACTACACTGGACAAAGAAGTGAAGAAGAGTGCGTGGAAAGACAAAACACACTTCTATGAAACACTGGCAAGTGAAGCAGAACAGGCTGCAGGGAGAAGAGACCTGACGACATTGTATCAAATAACCAGGTTGCTATCTGGGAAGAGAGCAACGCAGACGAAACCAATAAAAGATGATGACGGAAATCTAACTACGAAAGAAGAGAAACAAAGGAAACAATGGGCCGACCACTTCAAGAAGCTCTTGAATCCACCACCACCACCACCTGCACTTTATCCAGAAATACCACCAGCAGCCCAGCGGCTGAACTACGAGTGAACATAAATCCTCCAACAAAAGTGGAAGTCCTGAACGCCATAAAGCTACTGAAATGTGGGAAAGCAGCAGGACCAGACGGGACACCGCCAGAAGCACTGAGAACAGACACAGAGACAACAGCAGACATGCTCACACCACTATCGCAGAAGGTGTGGAAGGAAGAGAAGGTACCTGCCAATTGATTGGAAGAAGGGTTACCTTGTCAAACTGCCGAAGAAGGGAGACCTGAGTGTTTGCAAGAACTGGCGCATAATCACTCTCCTGTCAACCCATAGCAAGCAAAATATTAAGCCGCATCATCCTGGAGAGGCTTAAGGATGCACTGGATTCAAAACTACGACCCGAACAGGCTGGCTGGCTGGATTCAGGAAGTACAAATCATGTGCGGACCGAATTGCAACGCTACACTACGCATCATCATAGAACAGAGTATAGAATGGCAGTCAACTCAACCCTCAACCTCAACTTCACCGACTTTGAGAAGGCATTTGACAGCGTCGACCGAGAGGTAATTTGGAAACTGCTTCATTACTATGGAGTACCGCAAACCTTTATCAGCCTCATTCAACAACTATGTGAAGATGCCACATCTCAAGTAATTCACAATAGAAAGCTCAGCGATGCTTTTGAAGTGAAGACAAGAGTGAAACAAGGTTGCCTACTATCCCCCATGGTATTCCTGATTGTGGTGGACTGGATCATGCAGCAAACAGTAGGCAGCGAGAAGAGGGGGATACGCTGGACGACGGAAAAGAACCTAGAAGATCTGGATTTCGCCAGTGATGACTTGTGCCTGATGTCACATAAACTTGAAGATCTACAGGCGAAAACTAACAAGTTGATAGAAGAGGCGAGACAGCGAAGACGGGACTTCAGGTGAATATAAAGAAGACAGAAGTGATGAAGATACCGCACCACCACCATCAACAACAACAACAAACTCCAATCACCGTCAACGGGAGAAACTTAAAGGAAGTAGCCTCCTTCACTTATCTAGGCAGCACTGTTTCGACTACAGGCGGCACAGACGACGATGTCAAAGTCAGAATCGGAAAAACAAGACAGGCGTTCATTAGCCTGAAACCAGTGTGGAGATCTTCTGTACTCAGCATGTGGAACAACATCCGGATTTTCAACACCAACGTCAAGTCAGTGCTCCTGTATGGTTCAGAGACTTGGCGCGTCACGAAAGGCATTTCCAATAAACTACAGACATTCATCAACAACTGCTTACGCTCGCTACTGAAGATCAGGTGACCAGAAAGAATAAGCAACAAGGAACTCTGGGAACGAACCAACCAAGAACTTATCACGCAACAAATATGCAGGAGGAAATGGAGATGGATTGGGCATACACTGAGAAAGCCGACTGGGGACATCACGCGCCAGGCCCTCGAGTGGTATCCCCATGGGAAGCGACGAGTTGGACGTCCAAGGGTGACATGGGGGAGATCGTGCGAGGAGGAAATGAGAGCTTCTGGGCTGTCGTGGAGCCAGGTTCAAAAGATCTCAGAGAACAGAGTGCACTGGAGACGTGCTACTGAAGCCCTATGTTCCACTAGGAACCCAAGGGACTAATAATAATAATAATAATAATAATAATAATAATAATAATAATAATAATAATAATAATAATAATAAAATAATAATAATAATAACAACAACAATAATAATAATAATAATAATAATAATTCTGACCAGAAGTAAAATCCTACCCAATCCAAAGGCAGAGAGAAAGACCAACAGCAAGAATATCCAAATTTCTCACATCTCCCATAATACCTAACTGACTACTTTCTGGGAAAAATCCTCACAAACGTCGTTACTATTTACTACCAATCAAACGGTTTTTTTAATTAACCAAACGTGAACAACAATCTAAAAAGAATCTGAGTACCTATTCCCTATACCTTCAGATGTTTTGAATTTACTATAAGAACTGTAGTTTTTGGTGCGTGAATCCAAAATATCTACGGTACAAAAGTAACGTTGACATATCGAATATGACGAACAGATAATTAACATGACGTCTGAAACTACCTCAACAATGCATTAAAGACAATTAGTAAGAATACATATACCACCTCTTGATAATTTTAGCCTTGATGTAAATGTCAACATCACCCTTAGATTTACTTCAGGTAATTACACAGGCCTAGTTGACCTTATATGTTAGATAAGGCGTTTTACAAGCAATATTTTAGCACAGGAACTGAGAACCAGCCATTTTAAAACAAACCATACGAAATGCAGTCTTATAAGCCACTCCAAAAGTGGATGCACATACCTGAAAACTGCAGTTCCCATTCTCTTAGAGCCTTCATCTGGTCAGGAGTAAGATCTGATAGATCATCATACTCCTTTTTAGTCTCCAAATTAAAGCATGCGAGTGCTCTAGAAGCGTCCTTACCAGCGAACACAGCGTAAGGTGCTCCTTTAACAGCAATTAGTGTCGCATTCATTTACCTTTGCCGTAGAATTCTTGACCATTGTTGGTAACATCAAATATTTTACCATTGACCGCAATAAGTATCCTTTTATGTTCACCTTGGCCACTGAACTTCTGAAGTTCTTCCAAAGTGAAATCACGCTTCTCCATTTTTGGGACCTGGATTTTTCGAGTCTTTTTCTTTCTCAGTAGTGGCCTTAGGCTCATATAGACAAGTACAGCACATATCAAAAACAACGTTATGTTTATAGGACACTTTATGGCATCAATCATCGCAACGAAGAACTTTTCCGGCCTGTGTTCACCATCAGCTTTTCCTTCCGTAGAACTCATATTCGAAATGAGAGTTGACCTAAAGCTTCTTTGATGCAGATTAACACTTTGTCTTTATCCGGTATGTCGCCATTGGATGTGACCAGACGTTTTCTGTTTTTCTACATTTTCATATTTAAACTTGATTTGGAGTTCGTTTGTTTTCCTTTCATTTGATTCCTAAGAGAGATCATCAAGGATTGGAAGGCAATCATTCATACTAATCATCTGACAAGTGCGCCAATAGTCGATGGTTGATTGAACAAAGTATGCCCCGTAAAAACCATCATTTAGTCCTACTGATCTTTAGTTTATTTTCTAAACCTAACTTGAAGATATTTGGTAATAGAGTGATGTAACACTAAGGTATAGTCAGTATTGACACGCCAATGAGCTCTTTAATGTTCATTTTTTGTATGCGCATCACCCCTAGCGGATTTTCAGTCGAATGCTGAAATTAACTTGCCATGGAAATTTCGGCTATATAACCCATTGTACCATAGTCATTCTACTGTAGCGTCACACACTTCCCCAAGATCAATAGCCTAGGGTCTGACCTTGATAGTTTAACTGGACTCGCTAAGCTGAAGGCACCCGATCAAGCATCTCCACTATTTGGAACGCTGTCGTGTTACGTTGCACTGCTCGTATTCGACCCTCTAGCATCGGTATCTTGGCACAACCATCCAAATATACTATTCCATTCGGCTACGCTATCGTGTTCTTCCTTGGTCTCGTATTCGTTGGTATATAGCAAGTTCGAATAATTAGTGATTGGTCTTTGCATCTGTCAAATTCGCACCAGGACAAGTCCTAAACTACTTGTGATCCATCTATGTTAGACAAGTCATAACACTGATGTCTGTAGGTAAACTGACTAAGGTTTATATCTCAGCCCCACGCCCTCATTTAATGTATTAGGAATCACAGTGAAATAGTGATGCTGTTTGGTTGGATGTCATCACGAAATCTGAATTTTTTCCAAGACGAGGTCAAACACGGATGGTATAGATGACGTGCATTGTCCACCGCCCTTGACCATTCCGCGGTTTGATAATGAAGGGTTTAAGCATGCCACTTAATGCCTTTATCGCCATTCTGAGCCAATCAGACACCAGAAGTCATACTTTGGAAGCCATAGGTGCTCCTGTCCTCTCCTCGTGGTACGTAACAATGTTGGGTATGCATGGTAGGGTAAGTGCTGTCTGTCTCCACTCTGGATATCTAACACTTTCTGTCTGAAGAAATAGTCTGAGTGCGTCATTTTAACTGTGGTTGACCTCACTCTTGCGTGGGTGGTTCTATTATTATTATTATCATTATTATTATTACTATTATTATTATTATTATTATTATTATTAGTCCCTTGGGTTCCTAGTGGAACATAGGGCTTCAGTAGCACGTCTCCAGTGCACTCTGTTCTCTGAGATCTTTTGAACCTGGCTCCACGACGGCCCAGAAGCTCTCATTTCCTCCTCGCACGATCTCCCCCATGTCATCCTCTCCTCAGACGTCCAACTCGTCGCTTCCCATGGGGATACCACTCGAGGGCCTGGCGCGTGATGTCCCCAGTCGGCTTTCTCAGTGTATGCCCAATCCATCTCCATTTCCTCCTGCATATTTGTTGCGTGATAAGTTCTTGGTTGGTTCGTTCCCAGAGTTCCTTGTTGCTTATTCTTTCTGGCCACCTGATCTTCAGTAGCGAGCGTAAGCAGTTGTTGATGAATGTCTGTAGTTTATTGGAAATGCCTTTCGTGACGCGCCAAGTCTCTGAACCATACAGGAGCACTGACTTGACGTTGGTGTTGAAAATCCGGATGTTGTTCCACATGCTGAGTACAGAAGATCTCCACACTGGTTTCAGGCTAATGAACGCCTGTCTTGTTTTTCCGATTCTGACTTTGACATCGTCGTCTGTGCCGCCTGTAGTCGAAACAGTGCTGCCTAGATAAGTGAAGGAGGCTACTTCCTTTAAGTTTCTCCCGTTGACGGTGATTGGAGTTTGTTGTTGTTGTTGATGGTGGTGGTGCGGTATCTTCATCACTTCTGTCTTCTTTATATTCACCTGAAGTCCCGTCTTCGCTGTCTCGCCTCTTCTATCAACTTGTTAGTTTTCGCCTGTAGATCTTCAAGTTTATGTGACATCAGGCACAAGTCATCACTGGCGAAATCCAGATCTTCTAGGTTCTTTTCCGTCGTCCAGCGTATCCCCCTCTTCTCGCTGCCTACTGTTTGCTGCATGATCCAGTCCACCACAATCAGGAATACCATGGGGGATAGTAGGCAACCTTGTTTCACTCTTGTCTTCACTTCAAAAGCATCGCTGAGCTTTCTATTGTGAATTACTTGAGATGTGGCATCTTCACATAGTTGTTGAATGAGGCTGATAAAGGTTTGCGGTACTCCATAGTAATGAAGCAGTTTCCAAATTACCTCTCGGTCGACGCTGTCAAATGCCTTCTCAAAGTCGGTGAAGTTGAGGTTGAGGGTTGAGTTGACTGCCATTCTATACTCTGTTCTATGATGATGCGTAGTGTAGCGTTGCAATTCGGTCCGCACATGATTTGTACTTCCTGAATCCAGCCAGCCAGCCTGTTCGGGTCGTAGTTTTGAATCCAGTGCATCCTTAAGCCTCTCCAGGATGATGCGGCTTAATATTTTGCTTGCTATGGGTTGACAGGAGAGTGATTATGCGCCAGTTCTTGCAAACACTCAGGTCTCCCTTCTTCGGCAGTTTGACAAGGTAACCCTTCTTCCAATCAATTGGCAGGTACCTTCTCTTCCTTCCACACCTTCTGCGATAGTGGTGTGAGCATGTCTGCTGTTGTCTCTGTGTCTGTTCTCAGTGCTTCTGGCGGTGTCCCGTCTGGTCCTGCTGCTTTCCCACATTTCAGTAGCTTTATGGCGTTCAGGACTTCCACTTTTGTTGGAGGATTTATGTTCACTCGTAGTTCAGCCGCTGGGCTGCTGGTGGTATTTCTGGATAAAGTGCAGGTGGTGGTGGTGGTGGATTCAAGAGCTTCTTGAAGTGGTCGGCCCATTGTTTCCTTTGTTTCTCTTCTTTCGTAGTTAGATTTCCGTCATCATCTTTTATTGGTTTCGTCTGCGTTGCTCTCTTCCCAGATAGCAACCTGGTTATTTGATACAATGTCGTCAGGTCTCTTCTCCCTGCAGCCTGTTCTGCTTCACTTGCCAGTGTTTCATAGAAGTGTGTTTTGTCTTTCCACGCACTCTTCTTCACTTCTTTGTCCAGTGTAGTGTTTTATACATTGTACTCAGTTCCTCTTATCGTTGAGCATCCTTGCACTGGTTTATCTTCTGTCTCCCCATCCTCGTCTCCCTGCTCTATCAGCTTCCATGTATCTATCGAGATCCATTCCTTATCTTCTTTCTTCTTCCCTCCTAATACGGTTGTGCAGGTTTCTTTCCACATCTCTTTCAAAGAGTTCCGGTGTTCTTCCACACAGGTTTCTTCAGGGATGTTCCTCGATATCTCCCATTTTGTCTTGATGGCTGACGTGAAGATTTCCTTTGTAGTTTCATCCTTCAGTTTCCGAGTGTTGTACTTGAACTGTGGTCTATCATTAACTTCCTTGAAGGCTTTTAACTTGATTTGGAAGGTTCCTTGCACTAGATAGTGGTCTGAACCTACATCTGCTCCTCTTCTTGACCTTGTGTTAAGTAGACTGCGTCTCCATTTTCTTGAGATTGAGATAAAGTCGATTTGACTTTTAGTGTGTCCATCTGGTGAAATCGAATCCATGTCGCTTTGTGGATATCCTTGTGCTTGAACACAGTGCCTCACTGCAATCGCCAAATCGTTGAATGCACAGAATTCTGCAAACAATTCTCCATTCTCGTTCATCACCTCACTGATCGCTTCTCGAACCATGGTTAGTTCTCTTCCTGTGTTGTCTGCTCCCAGTTTTGCATTCATATCACCCATTAGAATTTTGATATCGCCAACTGGGGAGGGGTCTTGTCCAGTGTTGATTGAAGTTGTCTGTAGAATTCCTCCTTCTTTTCATCTGCATTATTTCTAGGTGCATAGTGTAGCATTGTTTGATTATGACCTTCCTTCCTTATGAGTTGAACCTTATTTCTATGACCCTGATCTTGGAGGAGATTGGTTCCCACTGCATGAGAGAGAGCCTTCGATGTTGTTGGGGACATCATGATAGCCACTCCATAACTCAGTGTGCTCGTGGTTGTCGTCTGGGTGACAATATCAGAGTAGATTATTGATTCTCCAGTTGACAGTTTGGAGAGTCCACTTCCATTCCATCTGCTTTCGCAAATTCCAGGCACTTCAATGTGATACCATCTCATTTCTTTTGCAATCTGGGCTGCCCTGCTGGGTTCAAACATGGTGTGGACATTCCATGTCCCCACGTTTACTTTCGTTTTCATCGAGGGAGAGAAGACACATCGGCCCGGTCAATTGGCTTTCCGAAGGCTTTCACCAACTGGCGTCATTTCGCCTCTCGGATTCCAGCGAGGAATAATTTTGTTATTATTTTTTATATTTTGTCTGTGCTTTGAAGTTTCTTTAGCGGTTAGATTTGTTTTATGGGGTAGGGTTGCTAGCCCTATGCCCAACCTTCCCTCTTAACCTGGGCTTAGAATCGTCTAGTAACTAGTGAACTAGTTAACCAGGCGAGGTTATTTGGGTGGTTCTGCCAATTTATAACTTCTCGTTGTTATCCATAATTCTTTGTCGATGGGCATCTACAATTAGGAAACAATGGTTCCGTGACTTCTTGTCAGTGGTGGATGCGTAGGCTTCAAGCAGAAGGAAGACTGGTGAATGGGTTATCGGAGACCTAAGTTGGGGTAGGTATACCTTCTTCCGATGGTGGTTATCGATATTCCATCAGATATTTGCGAAGTGAAGGGCGGGTACTGATGAGGTGGGTACACGGTTACTGGAAGGGGGCAAACGTCTTCACCAGCCTCAGCAAGATAGAAGATAATGGTTTTCACGTCTGTGGCACATAATTAATGGCTGTTTCAGCTACCTA